GTATAAATTTCTATAGAATAAATCAAATTCATTGAACAACTCAGATTCTAAGTTCACAATTTAATGTTCCAGTTTCATGAGTCAAGCTGACTACTAAATTGCTATACCATAGTCATTTTCGAAAACCATATCAGAGCTTTCTCCAAACTATAAAGATTTGCAACATATGGAGCTAGATATTAAGACACAATATAAGCTGGAGGTCAACTATTCCATATATATATACAAGAAGATGATTAGCCAACAATGATTTATACATGTGTGAATACCCGAAATGTAAACAAGAAAACAAGGATACTACTTCTCAAAAAATTGTCGGTAAAAACAATTAGAAGTCATAAGTACCTCAGTACTAGTCCAGACATAGAAAGCACCCTCCTTTTTCCGTGAGGCACCTTCAGATTCATAACTATCAGCATCTTCAGCCGAAAATATTTCACCACTTGGACCAATCATATCCCTTCTCAGGTAGTCAAGTATATCACGAGACAAACTTGAATAATACACATCCTTTGTGATACAAAAGGCATCCAGATAGACATTAACAAGTTGGCCTTGATCATATAACATTTTCTCGAAATGTGGAACTGCAAGAAGCAGGAAAGGAACACTCATAAATTGAACAACAAAATTGGATTTAAAATTAATATCAGAACACATACATAATAATTTAGCTCACCATGCCAGCATTCATCTACACTATATCTGTGAAAACCACCGCCAACATGATCATGGATACCACCCCTCGCCATGCATTCTAAAGTGAATAAGACCATTTTTAGAGCATTCTTGGCTTCACCTGAGTTTCCAGTCTCTCCAGACCTCTTTGAGTTGTAAAGCATCAGCTGCATCTCAACTGGCCTGGGAAATTTGGGTGCAGAACCAAAACCACCATATTTTGAATCATAGCTTTCTGCTAGCTGTAGCATGAAGTTCGACCATCATTAACAACAACACATATATTGAGAACCGAGATAATTAAATCCTTAAGACTAGCATTCAGATGGTCACATCTCAGGAACATGCAAAGATGTCATATGATCAAGTTAGTGAGAGACTTACCACACTGAGGATTAACTACCACAGAGAAAAGGGCAATATTTATCGTCAGTAATCTGAAGAATTCTGAAGTAGTTTAAATGATAGGGATAGCAGTAATAGAGAAGAGACAGGAGAAGGTAAAAGTTCTCTCTCAAGCATCAAATGTGGTTCTTCTCGTAACTAAGAGCCTGTCTGGATTGGCCTTTAGCTTTTGGCTTATTTTTATCATTTTAGCTTAAAATCAAGTGCTTATTCACCTTTTTAATTTACCCAAACACTCCGAAAGTGCTTAAACGCTATTTAGGCTTAAAGCACTTAAAATAAGTCAATCCAAACATGCTCCAACTCCAAATAGCCAGGTTGCCACCACATGCAAAGAAAGCTCAACAGCAGATTTTCAGAATATCTTACATGATCAGCACATTTACGCAGTGCGGTTTGTGGAACCTCATCTGAGAGCTTATTTGATGTTGAAGTTGCCGCCAAGGCTTCTGATAATTGTTCTATTGCAAACGCCCCACTCTGGATAAGCGTATCTCTCTTGCTATTCCACGCTTCCTTCACTTTCCTAAGCATGATGATGAAGTACACAGGAATATTCTCAGAAGTTTGAATTGAACATTGATGCTGCTCGACAGCAATTGAGCTTAAGAAAAATGTCATTCATACTTATAGTTGAGCAGAAGTTTATGTTGAACCACTTAATCTGAAAGTACAGAATGAACACACCTCAGTATAGTTTTAAATCCCGGCTTTCCATATTTGTCTTCTGGAGGAAAGTAAGTCCCACCCATCAAGGGCTTCAAATCAGGTGAAAGGAAGGCACTTAGTGGCCAACCACCACCACCATATAAAGCTTGCACATATGTCATGTACACCTGAGAGAGAATCAAAATTGAGCTACTCAACGCAGATAGCATCACTATTGGCAAATTGAAAATCAAATAATCACTGAGGAATCAAGCTTAGTCAATAAAATGCCAATCTAATCACGTTGCAAAGACTCATGCTTTCACGGTTTGCACATCAGATAACCAAGAAAGTGATTGCAGCAAGTTATTTCCAAAGAGTATGTTACTATCAATGAGGATTACCGAAAATAACCAAGAGCAAAACTGAGCATAACTCAATAAACACACGTGTAATCATATAGGGACAAGAGCCATATATAGTTATTGCTTCCATTTGTTTGTTTCTTCCTCGTTCTTGATACCGGAAAGACCTCGCAAGCTGATGTCTACTAGTTGGTAGTGAGAGGACTCTTCGTACCTGGGAGGTCCTAGCTAGTCGTGTGGGTACATGAAAAAGATTCATAGTAACCCTTCTTTGGCCACAAAAGGGATTATATTTGTTATACTCATTTAAATAGTGACTGGTATTATTAGCTATGCATTATACACCTCATATGGATCTAGCTTTCAACAGCCTAAACAAAAGAGAATATTAGTCAAAACTCAAAAGAACATCTAAATACGTAAATCCAAAGAAATAGAAAAAGAAAAGAGACGAAAAATGTTAGGAATACAAAATAGTTTAGAAAGCTATCCCTACATGAAGATATAATAGCAATGCAAGTTCAACTGGAATGATTTTGATTTAATCCAAGAAACAAGTTCAAAAGAGAATCAATTATAAATGCGATTTGAGCATTGATTCAGTAAAAAATTCTACCTTATCAACATCTGGACGTTCCTCTCTATCAACCTGTCCACATACAAGTAAAGGTAACAAAATGTCTATTATTCTCCAAATATATGTAGCTCAAGATGTAATTAGCATGAACAAAACTTTCAGATTCACCTTAATGCTAACGAACCAATCATTTAGCAATTTGGCTACCTCTTCATCTTCAAAAGATTCAACTTCCATAACATGACACCTTATCAATGAATAAAGCATTAGTCTTCCACTATACTAATTTCTTGCACCTTTCCAAGTAAAAAATTCGAAAAAACTCACCAATGACATGTACTGTAACCAACTTCAAACCAAATACAACATGGAAGATAAAAGATGTCAATATTACTGAAATAAATCCAACATTAATATAGCGAAACACAAAAAGTCACTGACTTGATAAGAAGATTGGGACATCTCTTTTACGAGCTTCAGCAAACGCTTCCTCACCCCATGGATACCAATCAACCTTTCCATAATGAAACAAAGTAAAAATCAGTGCATAAAATTTTCTATTCTATCAACAATTTCAACTATTTTTGTTCAAAATAATCCAATTAGTACCGGATTATGAGCGTGCTGAAGAAGGTAAGGACTATGTTCAGAAGCGAGACGATTGGTATGTTTATGGGTCTGGGAAGAAGTACTGAATGATGATGATTGTTGTTCAGCCATGGGAAGAACACGGATGGGTTGACGAAAAAAGGGCTTAGTGGATTTACACAAGTACCGAAATGAGGAAGATGATGAAGAAATTAGGAATTTATTGAGCATAGAAGATGATTTTGCAGAAGCAAAAATGGTGGAAAATTGGGGGTTTATATTTATAGTGAGGAGAGAAGGTTGAAGAAATGGTGCGAACCTCCATGCCATTTGGAGGATTTGACGAGTGTTGGATTCACTGATGATGATGATGATTGACTAGAGAATTCGACACGTTGCAGCTACTGAAGAAAACTGCGGCTATACGGTGCCACTGGTGCTCGATGTCCTGACAACTTTTTTTTTTTTTTTTGAGAGTTAGGTTTAAGTTTGATTGAAAATTTGTTCAATGATATTTTTTGTTTTTTGAGAGTAAGAAACTTAAGTTTGATCGAGATTTAACTCATGGAATCTTTAATTTTTTTAAATGAAATTTATATGTTTATAAACTAAGTAAAAAGTACTAGAAATCACAATTATTAACAATTTAAAATAAAAAATAAACTTATTTGAATCTCAAAATCTAAAAGGTAGCACATAAATTGGGACGGAAGAGTAATTTGAAAGTTGAGTATGTAATCTAATTGAAACACTTCATTAAAAGTTGAGGTATTTTAGTTAAAATAAAGTTTAGTTCAAGCGTGTAATGGAATATTCGTAATAAGTTTAAGGATTGATTAAATATTAAATTTAAATTAATTCAATATCATTAGCTTTGTAATGATAATCAAATTACGGGAGCATTCATTTCATCTTTCTTACCATTTGTCTCATTACCGAATATCAATGGTATGTGGTAAATTTATTTGCTTTCAAATGATTGTCAACTATTAGCCAATTCGACTTGGGCAATGTTTGATTTCAAAGTGCATTCTTTTAGTAAGTATGATAAAACAAAAATGAAAATCAAGTAAGCATCGGTCATAGATAGATTAAAACTACAGATTTAATTGTAAAAATATCCTCTCGTGTTGCATATTAGATGGGACACATGACAAAGTCGCCCCTATCGCTGAAGGGACTAATACACTCTAGGATTTTCTCAAGATATAGTGTCTTGAAGACTAAATTTAGGTGTCAACCCTAGTGCGGAAAAACTTCTCTAATAATAAGGTAGCTCCAACCTATATAAGAGGGTCGTTAGATCATTGCTTACTAACCGTTGGTCTATCCTGGACCAAGCAACCAAAGCCGAGGAACTAGGTGGGAATAGTGATAAAAAGAGAAGGAAAAAAGCAGCAGGGTAGAGGAATAATAGAGTTCACCTTTTTTTACCCAGGCTGGAGGACTTGCGCTGCTAGCCTTTGTTTGATATGTTTATTCAATACCAATACAAACGAAAACTACATCAAAGTGGAAGGTCTAGTATAGAAGCTAGAAATAGCTAACCTATAGTAGTCGGCATGACCAAAGCCTCATGACAATATAACATTAGCCTTACAGATTGAATCACGAAAGAAAACAGATGGGAAACAAAAGGCAAAGAAGAAGAAACCAAGAATCAAATCCGTAGAATATCAGCGTTCAAAATGAGGGAAATATGCACAAGCATTATAATGATTTTCAGATTGATGAAGAAATTATGCACAAGGATTACTTTGATTTTCAATAATGAACTTCTTGTTGAAGTGTTCTGTAACATTTAGAAGCCAAGTTCCAAAAAAGGATCTGAGAGAGCTCCTGGTTAGCACTAGATCTCCTCATTCTTTTGTACTGATCCTAGATTTACAACAATTCTAACAAGAATGATATCCTTACGGTCCATTTAAACAATGCTGATCCGAGGACCCATCGGGATTTGTGTGAGAAGTGTTCCACGAAGGAAAAAAAATAGAACTTCTAGCGAAAACAAAGGCCTCAAATTATCATGCAGGTGCACTGGCAGATTCAGCAAGTTCTTGCAGTAACTCTTGTTGCTCCAAAGTAGAACAAGACTGCACAAAGATGAAATTAGCATGACAGTCTTATTGGGAATTCTTACCATTCCCTCCCCCAAGGGGTTCCAAATAGCTACTTAGCAAAGTAACATACCTGAACAGCTGTCTCGATGTCACCCTCAAGAAACGTCATGAGCGGAAAGTTCATTTTTAGCCGATGATCAGTGACCCTATTGTCCTGTGAACATCAGAGAAAAGAGATCAGAATGATGAAAAGATGGGGCACAAGGGTGGGTAATCTAAAAGAGAACTGTAGGAACCAGTCAGAATATTTCAAAAGAATGCAGAACCATGAGTATGCTTCACTTGTACCATCACTTTTAAAGCAATAATCAGGAAAAACACAACGTTCAAAGTTTTCCATATTCAGTGAAAGTACTTGTTTCTATGAACCAAAACTGCAGTTTGAGATTGTGGTAGGATATTATACCATCATAATCATTAATTGGATGCCAAAAGTTTGTTTTGGGGAATAACACACTTTTCAGTTCAAGGCATTATGGCTTAATTACCTTGTAGTTGTATGTCCGAATTTTTTCTGACCGAGCACCAGTACCTACCTGTCATTGTAAATATAAAGTCTAATAAGGAAAATTAACAAGATATCTTGTCCTCGTGCTTTTTGATCTGATACGAAAATTTAAGAGATCACAAGGCTTAAAATGACCATATAAAAAATGTTGTATTAGCTTGGTCATGTTATGTAAACCCAGGAAACAATTATAACATATATGGGTCAATTGGTTTTGTGGCTCATTACAATTCAGTTTTATGCCAAATCTACCTATAATTCTTTGTTTTTACACGTAAGAGATCTTTGCAGGGTCATTTTCTTCCATTCAAATTGTAAAAGGTTGTGTTAAACCATTTCCTCGACATTTACTTATGTGTCACAGACACTATCAGTATGAAAGGTTTGCAGTAGTGATGGTATATATTAGATGATCAGCAGGTAGATACATGTAAGCTACTTGAACTTGTGGAACATATAGGTATGTTCCATATGGATATCATTTTAGATTAGGACATTTAAAAGAAAGGGAAAAGGCATAGATTCCCCCTGAACTTGTCCCGAAAAGTCAGTTACACGCTTAAATTATCATGATGACCTATTACACACCTTAACTACTCAAAAGTGAATTTATTACCACCCCGAGACGTGTAACACCACTATCACATTATGTGATGTATTATACTCGCTGCCACATCAGCTCTACGTCAGCGTCATGTCATAAATTATAATTTTTTGTTTTCTTTTCTTTATTAATTAACTTTTCTTTTGTTAACTATATTCTACTCTAACTAATCCCTAATTAATTGATTTAATTCTCTAATAATTGTATCTTCTTCATCACTAATCCCACCCATTTTCAATTCTCATTTCATCGGAAAATCATATCCGGCCCCACCTTCACTATTGATTTTGTTCTTCACCACCACTATATAACCTTCAATTCTTCTTCTTCTTTGTCACCCAACACCAAATATCACCACCACCATTATCAATATCGATTTTTTATTTTTCACCACCTTTAATTACCTCTTTTAATGTTTGTCACCCGCCACCCATCACCACCAAACCCATAAAGCTGCTATTACCACCAAAACCAAAAATTGATTAACAACCAAAAATACTTGGGAAAATGCATAAGTACCCCCCAGACTATGCACAAAATCCCTGAGACACACTTAACCTATACTAAGGTCCTATTACCCCCCGAACTTATTTTATATATAATTTTCTACCCCTTTTCGGCCTACGTGGCACTATCTTGTGGGCCCAGCGTGTGTTGACAATTTTTTCAAGGATAGTGCCACGTAGGCTGAAAAGTGGTAGAAAATTAATTAAAAATTAAGTTCGAGAGGGTAATAGAACCTTAGTAAAGGTTAGGTGTGTCTCAGGGATTTTGGGCATAGGCTGGGGGGTACTTATGCATTTTCCCAAAATACTTTAACAAAGTCCAAAAAGATAGAAACAATCAATCAAAATTTTTCTAGATAAAATACAATTATTCACTAACAAATCTATGGGAATTAACCTAATTGCGAATCAAAAAAAATTGTGCTTTAAGATTGTGATAAAAAATGAAGAAGTGTGATGAAATAAAGAATGAAGAAGAAGAGGACAATGGGTGGGGGTTTGAAGAAGAAGAGGTGTGGGGGGTGGGGGGTGGAAAAGAGGATTCTAACTTCTTCTTTTTTTACTTTAATTTCAAACTGAATAGTATAGGTGTGTAATAGGTCACTATGATAGTTTGAGCGTGTAATTGACTTTTCGGGACAAGTTCAAGGGGAAATTTATGCATTTTCCCTTAAAAGAGAACATAAAAAATATGGTGCCAACCATGTTGATTTGAGTGTCCCCTTCCTACTGCATTTTGAGTAGGCTAGTTCAACGATATGAAGGTTTAGTTATCTTACCTGTAATTTTCTCTGATTTCTTATGGACTCCTGCTGCTCCCTCACCTTAATCTCATACCTGGAAGAACGTCACAAGTCATATCCATGCACAGATAATAGTAATTCCAGAAGTTATGGCCATAGTAAAAATTTACATAAATATCACCTTGTGTTAGTATAAAGAAAATACATACATAGTAGTGAAATAACATGAATGTACCAATGTATAAAGATGATACATACATGGAACTATGTAGACTGTCCATGGCTCTTCAGCCTAGACAATTATTCCGGTGAATTTTAGGACCCATAAGATTTTGGTTCTAGTTCACTAGCAGATAGTGCAGTCTGAAACTAATGACATATTTCATTGCAAGTAAAATTATGTAGAGATTCATATATGCATATGACCATCATAGAAATTGTCAAATGGTGAAGATCAACTAGAAAAGGGATGACACAGAGGGGTCATCAGCTCTTGGACAAGTTTCCTTCCAGTGATTGTCTTGATTGATTGTTAGAATATGAATAGGTTTATACAATTCTATTAGAATAGGAATAGGTTTATACAATCATAGTAGAATAGGAATAGGTTTATACAATCCTATTTAGAATTGAATAGGAATAGAAATAGGAATAGTAAGTAGTATCCTACTTGGTAAAGGATTGTATTGTAGTGTCTATAAATAGGGTCTCAATGTAATAATGTAGACACAACAACAATTCAATAATATTCTTTTCCTATATTTCTCACATGGTATCAGAGCCTCTACGATCTTGGTAGAAAATCAAAGAGTTTCCGCTGCTGGCGGGTGGCTATTACCAATATATGCCGCCCATCTGGCCAATGATTATGTTAATAAAAGTAGGACAAATGATACATGCATGAACCCCATGTTCAAGGGAAGAAACTTAGTCAGACAGGTCACCATGCATCAATTTTCGGTGACTTTCTAGGGCTGTTTTGTGTCAACCCCATATCCGTTGGTATTTGTGTAGCACCGCTCCATCTTTTCGGTGACTACTTTTTCATATATAATTTATGTAGCACCAAGCCATCATTCCGGTGACTACTTTCTTATATCTAATTTGTGTAGCACCGTGCCATAATTCCGGTGACTACTTTTCATATTTAATTTTTGTAGCACCGTGCCATCATTCCGGTGACTACTTTTTCATATATATAATTTATGTAGCATCGTGCCATCATTCCGGTGACTACTTTTTCATATATATAATTTATGTAGCATCGTGCCATCATTCCGGTGACTACTTTTTCATATATAATTTATGTAGCACCAAGCCATCATTCCGGTGACTACTTTCTTATATCTAATTTGTGTAGCACCGTGCCATAATTCCGGTGACTACTTTTCATATTTAATTTTTGTAGCACCGTGCCATCATTCCGGTGACTACTTTTTCATATATAATTTATGTAGCACCAAGCCATCATTCCGGTGACTACTTTTTAGATTGTGACTACTTTTAGCCATCAAATCTATACTCCTGCATATGAGCATTTTCCGACCAATTTTTCAGTGACTTTCTTGTTTAATATCGACTCATCTATTGATTCCAACATGATCCATATACTTTATACTAGGTTTTGAGCACTTTGTTGCTCAGGGGGAGTTTAGTAGCCTTGTATGTCGATTTTGTGAGTTAGTCATTGCAAGTTTGGTTTGGGAAGCTCAACACTGGAATTTTATCACTCGGTGTTTTATCGGTATTATGCATCAAATCCAGTATTTAATGAGAAGACAAGCACATTGATATTGACTGACATTATGCATCAAATCTCGTATTTAATGAGAAGACAAGCACATTGAGATTGACTGTCAATTTTTGTGAAGTCGACTGATCAACTTGCAGATATCTCACCAAGTCCCTCATCGGTCCTCGTGTTAATTACATTTGTAACAAGCTAGGTACATGAATTGTATGCACTAGCTTGAGGGGGAGTGTTAGAATATGAATAGGTTTATACAATCCTATTAGAATAGGAATAGGTTTATACAATCATAGTAGAATAGGAATAGGTTTATACAATCCTATTTAGAATTGAATAGGAACAGAAATAGGAATAGTAAGTAGTATCCTACTTGGTAAAGGATTGTATTGTAGTGTCTATAAATAGGGTCTCAATGTAATAATGTAGACACAACAACAATTCAATAATATTCTTTTCCTATATTTCTCACAGATCGATCACGGGCTCTATCAGCCAGTGACAAAAAATTTGACAACCCCAAATCACATAACCTTGTTGACTTCCATAAAAGCAAATGAAGTGTCAAACCACAACCATGCCTAAAGGATAAAAGGCTAACAATAACAGACCTTTCTTGTTTTTTTTTAATCAGGTAACATGATAGACCTTTATTGTTTGATGCATTGGAAACTTGAAAGTTAGTCTATGGGCTTATCATTGTCATAGAACATAGCCAAATACTAACAGATTCTTCCTTAATCACGTAGGTTTCTTTAGTTCACACTATTATATATGGCAAGGTTATCTAGATATGAAGAACACATACCACATGCTTAATGAAAAGCATATCTGACATGGGCAATCACTTAAGTTTGTTTCACTCTTAAACTAGCAAAAGAAGGTGTTCTAAGCAGTGAATTTTTTTGACATGCAAACAAAACTATTTCGCAGAATTGAAGTAAAGATCCAGACATGGGCGGATATAACCTTTTGGCAACAGGTTCACCTGAACCCATAACTTTCAATATGGAGTGTAGATATATATGTAAAAACCTACTAAAATCTCAACAAATATTAGACTTGAACCCATAATTTTAACTGTACAATGAGTTCAATGTGGAAAATCTTAAAAGCTGAACCCCCTAAATTTAATTTATGGATCCGTGACCAGACATAGTGGGCAGTTCAAACACCAGAAACTTTCTTTATAGGATCTAGAAAGCAGTACTTCAGGTTCGCATCAGTAAGTATATCATTTTCTTAAGCAAACCTATCTAGTTGCTCTCAGAAGAGGTCATCTTACAAGCAAGGGCTTCTCACCTAATCCATAGGACTAATTTCATTCATATCTAAGTTGAGCAATTCTGTTTTTTATCTTTTATTTCTATATAATAAAGTTCAGTAACTCCATTAAGCAAAATACTTATATATGAATCAATGTCCCTTACAATTTTGCTCTCAATAGTTGGAAAGCCCGATTCTTGTTTTTAAGCTGACTCCTTTCTTCAGTACAAAAGATTCTAATTCCTGTTGGTTTATGGTAAAGATCAACTGCAGTCTCCACCTTGTTAACATTCTGCCCTGCATAGCATAATCATGCATTAATATATGCATGTCAATAAGCACAAGAAGTTCATGTATAGGGAAATGTAGTAGAACATGAAGAGTTGAATCATCATGTACCTCCAGCACCACCAGAACGTGCTGTTGTTAGTTCTATATCCTTCGGGTCAATTTCCACATCAACTTCATCAGCCTGAAACCATAAAATATATCAAGGATGAAACCAAAAGAAATAACAGCTGCAGAAAAACAGGGAACTGAAAAGACCTAGGGATACTTGGGGAAAAACAATCAAAAGAACATAATGAAAACTCTAGGTAAAATTGGAAGTTTGGTGATCGACAACTACTCAGCTGTACATGGTGATTTAAATGATGCAGCAAGCTATGTGATTGCTACAACATTTGGGATGAACTTGCAGATAGTACAATTACATAAAAAAAAAGAGAAATATTGAAAACACTCCTAAACTCCGCACAAATTATTATTTTCATCCCCGAACTATTGACTGCCTTAAATGCACTCCTTTACTTCGCTAATTGAACTTAAATACACCCTCGATATTGCACTATGAGTGAAATACACCCCTAAATTCTCGCTAACCTTAGGGGTGTTTTCAACACTTCTCTCTGCTTTTTATTAAGAGTTCCATGCTCCTACAAGAGTTTGAGACCATTTGCTATGTTATGTGGCAGATCAGGGGTGTATTTAAGTTTAGCTAATCAAGTAGAGGGGTGTTTTTAAGGCTGTCAATAGTTTAGAGACGAAACTAATAATTTGCGCCAAGTTCAACGTTGTTTTCAATATTCTCACTAAAAAAGATGGTCATATTGAGCTAGACTAAATAGGAGATAATTTTGAGTGAACATGTGGATAACTAACCTCTGGCATGATAGCAACTGTTGCAGTAGAAGTGTGAACACGGCCTTGAGTTTCTGTTAGTGGTACACGTTGAACTCGATGAACACCAGATTCATATTTCAATTTACTATAGACTCGGTTGCCTTTGATCTCCATCACATATGTTTTGAATCCTCCTTTTTCAGCCTTGAAAAAAAAAGATGTTAAATAGATTAGAGGAAGAAATTACTTCTTTTTAGAAAATGAAAAAGTAGATGTCAATTAGAATTTAGTGCATATTTACCTCGGAGCAAGAGATTGGAGCAAACTTCCAAGAGTTCCGTTCACTGTATTTCTCATACATACGCACCTAATGATGTCAAAGCAAAGAAGAAATAAGTGTGCCAAGCAATCAGATCTGGGTTCTTCATTTCACGCTATTGGAAGCAATAACCACTTCTGTCATAGCTCAGCAGATGAAATAACACTTTAAGGACTCTATATTGATTGGTGGAATGTAATGGTGACCAGGTATTTAAAGTCTCATTTATTTATTTCTTAGCTGTAAGGTATTGCACTTTGGACCCATAAAGGCCATATGTTATAAGGTAAGATAGTACTGTCTATCTCATGCCACTGTTAAAAGTACCAAGAGTTGAATGAACAGAGATTAAACTTTTCTTTTTTCAGTATCTGAAAAAGTATCAGATCTATATAAAAGAATCCAGAAGGACTAAAGGAACATGTACCTACAAGATCACCAGCCCAAATTCCAGCCTCATCCCCACCAGCACCTGCCCTGACTGCAACACAAAAGAGTTAAGACACCCATACCCAGAATTAAAGCTTTTGTGAAAAAGATATCTTAACTTAACAATTAGGAGTGACAGAAATCAAAATTAAGCAGCATAGAGCAGACACACATCACATGCTGGCTAACCCTTAAGTTTCAATATTTGTAGCTACTGATGTGCTAGTGGTAATCATGCCACATCCAAAGATTTATAAGCTGGACAACTTTTAGAGGACTTGCAGACAATTAGATTCTATCAATGTATGTTGTGCTCGATTTCATCAAATCAGCAATAATATAAATGTAAAACTAAATGTGGCCATTATGTTATCTTTCTCAAACAAAAAAAAAAGTGGCCATTTAAAAGGGATACTCGAAGAAGCATGTAGTACCCAGTCATGTTTCAATTGACTTACTTCCCATTTTATCCCGTACCAAAAATATGAGCTATCTCCTATATTGGAGAAGTTTTTTCTTCCAACAATTTAAGAAAATATAAATAGTATTAATTTATATCAACTCAACTTTAATGTGAATCTTTTCATTAACTTTGCCACTTTCTCAGATTTGAAACACTTTCCTCTTAAACTCTTTGAAAACCAGTCATGGTCAATTAATTTTAGTGAGATGGAGTAAAAGAGTCTGTAACCTTATCTTTTGTTTCACTTCTAAATATCTCAAGAAAAGCTTCGTGGTTTTTACATCTGCTCATTAAGTTCTGATGAATATTTTACTTTTTTATTATCTGGATCACTTAATTATTGCTTGGAGTTCATGAATCTGAAACTAAGCCGCAGAGCAGAAAATTCTACAAACAAATCAAGACAATAAGGCAAAGTAAGAGAATAATATACCTTCAAGCATTATATTCCTTGCATCAAGAGGGTCGCTCGGAAGGAGCATTAACTGCCATCATGAGGAATATCAACATAATCCCACAAAGATGCATAGAAAACATTAAATCTGAAAACTATCTGGAAACCGAAATAAGAAAGGTAAAATAAAAATACTTTAACTGAAGCACTGTAATAACCTTAAACTTCTCCTCTAGCTCTTTGATTTGCTCTGTCAAGGATTGAATTTCAGAAGCAACCATCTCAGCCATGTCCTCGTCAGTGCCAGCTTCTTTAGCTAAAGCTGCCAGGAATAGAAGAGCTTGTCACATTTATGTATAAATAAACTACTACAAACAGAAACATTATAATGAAATCATGGAGGGAGAGCTAGCAAGTGGCAGTAAAAAATCTTTTCAGGAAAATGTTAGGACTACCACAAAAGTGGATGATAACCTTTTGCTTCTTCCAATTGCTTCTCACAATCCTTGAATTTCCTGTATGTTAATACGACCTAGCTCAAAAAAGGCAACAAAAGTGAATAAAATATAGTGTATCTTGTCAACAATAGAAGAGGAGATAAAATGACAGTTTAGTGAGGTACTTCATCTAGCTCTGACATTGACTGCGCCAACTTCTGATATTCACTTGGATTTGAGACCACATCTGGATCAGCAAGCTTAACCTGAAAGTGCTTCAGTAGTTTTAAGCGTAATTCGTGGTCATTCCACATTATAAAGGAAATATTTAGAGATTCGCAACACTTCATATACGCTTAAGACTTTGAACCAGGCAAACATGAACCTGTCTCGAATTATATGTTGCTAAAACCTAATTCACCTTATCTTTCTGTCATAACTGCTTGAATAAATTAACATATGTATTCAAATCATATAATTTGTTGCTTCATTTGTCATGTATCTTGTTATGTTGTTGTCATATTTTTTTGCTACCATACTTCGAATTCTTCTCTTTTGTTTCGAGCCGAGAGTCAATCGGAAACAGACTATCTATCCTTCCTACCGTCCCCATAACCTCTCTATCCTAGCCTCTCCGTCAATATACAAGTAGATATATCAAAAAACTGTACCTCAATACCAGACTAATATGAATCCTCTGTATCTTTTTCGCTCAATTCAGACGGAATATTTGATTTCAAAGACATGTATGATTTTTGTTTATCTAAACAAATGTTCGATTCATCCCATCAACCTATCACAATCCTCTTCCTTTAAAGTAGAAGTAATTTTCACTTAAATTTACATTTTGCAAATCCAGAAAGGAGAGTAAACACAACTGGAAATTCAAAATGAAGACAATGAGCTCTTAGAAATTCAAAAAGCATTAAAATTCAGAAAGAGGCATACCGACAATTCTTTCCACGTTTTCTCAGCTGAATCGAGTTTTTTAATTAGATAAGGTTCCTGCAATATACCGCAACCAGCATTAAAAACGATTACATCAGAAAAGCTTAAAACAGCAATTTCCGACTACAATGTTTACTCACTAAAAATGAATTCCTAAATTTAAACTGAATACACTTCAAATTATGCTTATCTATTCACTTTCTCTGCTAAAAGAAATTGATATTTCTAAAATAGTTCGTACCGCCATGCAGATGATTCTTCTACAAGGACTACGGTTCGGTGGAGCTCGAATAAAAGCTAATCCTCCACTGGAAAATCCAGAGCAACGGCGTAGTACTGGCAACTGAATGGACCAAGCGGTGGAGATTCCGGCGGTGGTGAAGCCGGAGTTAGCTAGAGTATTCATGGTGTTTTTAACTCCAACGTGGTACTTTGCAGCTCTGTAAACTTGAATGGATAACAGGTTGTGTATTTACGAGCGAGAAGAACCGGGAAGTGAAGCGACCCGGAAATGGAAATGGGTTGGACCCGTAGAAACTTCTAGTAGTAAGCCCAGTAGCCCACGGCCCAAAAATGGATGGGCTCGATTCTCGAAGATGAACGATTTGTGTGGACGTGGCACGTCAAGTTATCAAGATGTAATAAAACGACAAAAACTTTAACATTTACAAATATATTTTTAATTTTATGTCTTTTATAATAATTATTTTATTTTTGCACTAAGAGATTCGAAAATAATACAACATTTCTCTCCGATCGGCCTTTACAATTAGCTCTTCCTATGAGTTACATATTACTCGTAATTCATCTTACTTTTGTAATCAAGTTCCTTCCCTCTCTTTAGCAAATAAATGGATGACTTACTAGCAAGTACATAGTACCATCCTATTCAACTTCTGACGATCCTAGTTAGACTCATGAATCATGATTAATAAATTCTCGCAATTTATCAATCATATCATGAAAGATAAGGTGACTATAATTTAGATTAAACTCCTCACCTCATTCGTCGACAACAAAATGTGCTAACATGACAGAATAAAACATGTCAGTGGCAGAATCAAGATTTTGATTAAGAGGGTTCAAAATTTGAAGAAGTATTCTTATTAGAGAACAAAAGAGAAGAAGAACAGACAAAGATACATCCACACATATAGATGGATTGGATCTATCTTTCCAAGTATTAATTGTTGATGGGCCAGTCACTTTAGGGCCGACCCTATCTTTGTTTTTGTACCGATTAAGTCTTCATTTTTTTATTAATAAAAGGCCATCATGGCCACCAAAATTTTATTTTTTAAAAAAAATAATAATTAAGAAGTAGACGTATGAATAAGTCAAAAGGGAGTGAACATCTACTATACACACATAAAAAAAAAAGTTTAACCATGTAAAACAACCTTCCCCTCCCC